GATATTTTTAAGGCATGTAAATATTAAAATTAATTCCGCCATTTAGAACGTTCGATTTCCCTCATTGCTTATAAACGCGAAAATTAAATTTACGATTTTTTAATTAATCTTAACGGAATATATTTGTAAATAATTTTTTCTCTTTCTGCAAATCAAACTACAAATGAATCAAGAATAAAATGGTGATGCAGAAATTAAATCTAAATTTGACATTTTGAGCCTTCGATTTTCGTCATTGTGAAAAACCCGAACATGAAATCGCCGATTTTTTTACGTTAATATTTCAGGAAATTGATTGTAATTGATTTTTTTCTTATTCTACACATCAAAGTACATAAGAATCTGAAATTATATGGGTATGTAAAAATTAAACCTAAATCCGCCATTTTCAGACTTCGTTTTCTGTCATTACTTAAAACCGCGAACATGAAATCTCCGATTTTGTTCATTAATATAAGAGGAAATTTATTTTAATTGATTTTTTTGTTGCTACACATCAAACTACATAAGAATCTGGAATAAAATGGTTATGTAAAAATTAAAACTAAATATTGAGCCTTATTTTCCCGACATTACTTAAAACTGCGAACATTAAATTTCCGATTTTCTTCATTAATCTTACACGAAATTGATTGTAAATGATTTTTTCTTATTCTACACATCAAACTACAAATGGTTATGTAAAACTTAAAGCTAAATATCTATCTATCTATCTATCTATCTATCTATCTATCTATCTAGTTAAACTGATATCTGCTTGCTATCAATCTATCTGTGTGTCTGTCTGTTTCTATTTATCCATCTTTCTTTCTATGTCTCTATTAAATTAAACCTGCGATCTATCTATCACTATCAATCTTGTTTTCCATCTTAATCATGTTATTTCCCTGATAATAATAGTTCGAGTATGTTTTCAACACACACACACACACATATATATATATATCAAGGACACTTTTCTTTGCACAGTTTTTATTTGTTTTTTTAGAGCACACATACCTGGCGTTCATCGATTTGGAACGACGGTTCGTATGTCATTTCAGACTTCCTGTCCTTCCCATGATATTTTATACTTACAAAACTTTACATGTTTTAATATATATATTTATATATATATATATATATATATATGTATAAAGATTTTCTTTGTACTGATATGTACGTCACATTCTGATAGATAGACAACATTTTTAATTAGATAGATAGATAGATAGATAGATAGATAGATAGATACGTAATATATACATACATACATACGTAATATAAAAAGTAAATATGAATTAATATTTCACACATTTTTATACAAAATCACATACACATCCAAGCCCCCGCACATACACACATACACACAGAGACCCAGACTCACAGTCTTACACACGCATCCGACACACATACCCACAAAATATTTTCATTACTAAAATTTGGTTTGAAGTTAAATTATTAGAAGCATTAGTATTCACATTAGTATTTAGTAGCCTAAACGATTCATCATGTATATATATATATATATATATATATATATATATATATATATATATATATAAGGTGTTGGACAAAATAATTGGAACAGGTGCAAAATCCACGCCTATATTTCAAAGACCTATTATATTAAGTACTTTAACTAAAACTTCGTAATTGCAGGTTGTATCTAATGTGAATACTTTTATTTATCTAATTTACTGTCTTTGTCTTATTTATTTGTAGAATTTAGTCAAATTTAAGCTAAATGCGTGTCCTCTCCGAGTTCGAAAATGAGCAAATTGTTGGAGCTCGTATGGCAGGAGCCTCGATCACTAAGGTTACTGAACTGTTTGGTTTTTCAAGAGCTACCATATCAAGAACTATGTCGCCATTCGAGAAACAAGGTAAAACCTCTAGCAACCGTAGCAATTCGGGCCGGACTTGCAAACTTACTGACAGGGACCGACGTGCATTGAAACGCAATATGGCAAAAAATCAATATTTTGTCCAAAACTGCTGATTTGAATAATCATCTGAATAGTCCAGTTTCTACTAAAAATATATATATATATATATATATATATAAATGATGAATTCGTTTAGAGATCACAGTGCCTGGTCTGCAGACCAATGGAAAATATTCTCAGATGTGTCCAGTTTTCTTTTCTCTTTTCCAACTTAAAGGCAGCCCAAATAATTTGACTGCCTTCTTCCAACAGTGAAACCAAATTTTGGGCCGCCATAATAGAAAATATTTCAACAAGAAAGATTATGAACATTTTGGGAGATCATGTTGATCCAATGGCCAAGACTTTATGATGGTGAGCATCTTCAAGAAGATAATGCGCCAATGTATGGTTAAGAATTGGTATGAAGAGCATGGATTCTGTGCCTCGTCCGGTTCCCCAATTTGATATCAAAATATTGTGGATTTTGGAAAAATTACCGATATCCTACAAATTTACTTTTTGGAAAATGGCTGAAAATTCCTCTGGATGAAAAAGGAAGGGAATCCGTTCCTAGATGTATTAAAGTTGAAATAAAGGAGGACCAACTCCATATTAAATAAATTTTCTTTGACAAATATTTAAATTATATACATATATATTCTTTATATATATATATATATATATTTTATTTAAAACTTTGGGCCTAGATCAATTTATCTGTGTCTTTTCTCTATTTGTCTTGTCTGATTTGTTGAATTTGTTAAATAAATTTTATCTCTATCTATCTATCTATCTATCTATCTATCTATTATAAATCAACCTGTCTGTCTCTTTCATTCTATCTATCTATCAAATTAAAACTGCATTCTATCTCTATCAATCTTGTTCTTCATCTTAATAATAATTTTAAAACGAGTATGTTTCAATATATATATATATATATATATATATATATATATATATATATATATATATATATATATATATATCAAGGATAGGTTTTTATTTTCAGAGCTCACATACCTGCGGTTCATCTATTTATCTATCGAGGGCTATGTTATTTATTTCCAAATGATATTTTATACTTACAAACCTTTACATGTTTTAATATAAGTATATATATATATAAAGATTTTATTTTATTCATATGTACGTCACTTTCGGAGACATTTTCAATTTGAAGGATTTCAAATTTTATCTGTCTGTGTCAAAGTCATGATGAAATGTTTATGCTTACTATTATCTATTCGTATTTACAAATTTGAATATCTATCTATTAAATTAAAACCAAATTTTAATCATTTTTTGTGGGTCTTGTTGTCGGATCGTATGTAATCAGTGTATCTAATCATGTGACTTTCAAAACATGATGTGAAAAATTATAAATATGTTTTTATATTACTTAGGTGGAATCTACATCACACAATTAAAAACATGTCTATCTAAATATATCACTTATCTATCTATCTATCTATCTATCTATATATATATATATATATATATATATTATATTATATATACTATCATTTATCTGTGTATCTCTATGTGTCTGTCTGTATATCTGTTTGTCTTTCTCTCTAACTATCTATCTTTAAAACAACTATGTTCCATTTCTAATTAAAACCAGTCCTTCTATCATGATCTATCTAATTAAAACTGCTATCTATAAATGATCTATCAACTTGACTTTCTCCTGCCTATTCTATCTATCTATCTATCTAAATAAAACTGATATCTATCTAGTTATAACTGTTATCTGCTTGCTATCCATCTATCTGTCTGTGTGTCTGTCTCTTTTATCTAAAACAAATAAAATTAAATTAAAACTAAATCAATCTTGTTCTTCATCTTAATAATCATATGATATATATACACTTATATATCAAGGATACGTTTCTTATATATTTATTTATATATATATATATATATATATATATATATTTATATTTGTGTGTGTGTTTGTGTGTATGTTATAAATATTGGAATCTTGAACTACTATTATCAGTGAAATAAAATGATTATGATGATTAACACAAGGACTTACTGAACATTGCTCTACAGCAGGACACTAATTTCAATATATTTTACATACATGACATAAATGATAGGCAAAGTAGAAAGACCGTCAAATTAATGTCGACAGTGACAAGTTGAATCATTTGAAAGTGATTTTTCTGATTATTAATCAAAGAACCTTAATTATTATTACTTATACGAAAAGTAAAATAGTTCCTCTTTAGAAATACGGAACACCAGCATTACAATGATCAAGAAAATGGCGTTTCTGTCTTAAAAAAATCAATGATGGCAATGATTAAAATTCGTGCCCGTCAAAAACGAAACCAAAAAAAAAACGATGTGTCAAATGGATTACGAAAAGGGTTGATCTAAAAAGTCTCCCGCAAGCAAGACTCTTGCACCGGCCATGAGCCGTCGGTTGTGTCTAAACGTAGTCAATTTCTTTTGAGTTTAGGATTTTCTTTCTTGCCCCCTCCGCCATTATTATTTTATTCTATTTTTTCGTGGAGATTCGTTAATTTTCTAAAATTGTTATTCATTATTCGTTGCCCAAACGAGTTTTACTTTTTATTTATTTAAACTCATTTCAGACTGAATTTGCAAAGTAACTAGAGACAATGAATGAAAAAAATTGAGAGAGATGGAGAGAGAGAAGGAGGAAAAGATGGAAAGAAAAATTCGTAAAATAGAATAAAGAATTAATATTTTTGCGAGGAAGTCTCCAAACCGAAATTCCATGTCTGTTTTACAGTGTTGCTTTAGGTATAGCCATGGAACCTATGGAAGAAAGAGATATTCCAACAGTTCATTATTTCATTTGCTCTTTGGGATTTTAGAAAGAAGCTCGAAGATCGAATAAAGAATTGTTATTCAAATAAAGCAAATTGCTCACTGTAGCTTATCCAGTACTTTGGAAGGAATTGGCAGTCTTCCATCAGATGAGAATGATGCAAAATCTCTGGTTTCGTATAAAATGACAGCTTCATTATTCAAAGTATTCTTTTTGAAGTTCTGTTGTCTAAGAAGCATCAATATCAGATTTCTCAATAAATGCCTTCAAGTGCCCCAAACATGTTCTGGAGGTCTCTTCAACCAACAAAGCCACGAAGAGAATTAACCAGCATTTCTTCTTATGATCAAAGGTTAGTGATAAAAAGATGAGTAAATCTACACAATGCGAGTGTAAGGAGTAAAAAAATCGAATTAACAAAGAAAAAATATTCAAAAGAAATTCACGGAGAAAAAATATGAAAGCCATCTTAAAGGTAAGATTAGAATAAATGTGAATTCACAGGAACTATATTCAAAGACATTATGAAATTTAGTACTGCATTAGTGCCTTTTACAATATCTAAATGTTTATGTTCGTGTGTATTAAAATACCAACAATGCTTTTCATTTTTATTGTTCATTTTTAATGAGTGTTAATCAAAATAAACAAAATAGATTCTACATAAAGAATCAAAGAAAAAAAAGGAAAGAATTTCTTCGTGGAAAGCTGTTTGCAAAATAGGGTGTACGAAAAGTTGATTTAATCTCGTAAAAAACACCATGCCGTAGCGGAAGTGGGCTCAGTTTTATATGCTTCACAGATTCAAGAATTGTTTTGAACATATGCGCGCTTTATATTTGTACTACTAAAACAGTCAATCAGAAAATTGTACTTATAACCGTATCACGTTGAAACACCGGTTCTCCCGCAATCAACTAAATTAAGCAATGTTGAATTGATCAATACTCAGACGGGTGTTCGCTGTAGTAAACCACTAGGTGCTGTATGTAAGTTACACAACTCGCCTAAAAAGTCAGCAATGAATACAATTTCACTGCTCATGCCAACAGAAAACCTCGGTCCTTGGGGATGCTTCTAGAATGACATGTCCTATAACCTAGCTGGATTGGGGCGAGTGTGTGAGTTTTTGGAAAAGGCTTAAGGCTACACTGATCTCGTCAAATTATATGGGCTCCTTGTAGACGTTCAAGAATTGAGGTTATTCGAAAAGTGAATGGTGTCTGTCTTCGTGTCACTCATGTCACTGGGGATTAAACCCCAAAGAGTAATGAAATGAGCAGTTTTCTTGATGTGGGACGCACTTCTGACCATTGCCGAAGATTGTTTTGATGATGACAAAGAATGAATTCATTACCAAAGACCTCATTTTTAGGACGGAATTTAACGGTCGTCAAAGGACACCGTAGCCGTATTCGAGATCCCGCCTCAGGCAATGGGAGAGCACCTCGCTGACCTCGTTATGCAGCACGGCCAACTTTTAGGAGCCCTTTTGACAAACAGAACGAGGGGATGGAGCTTTGACCGAAATCTTTTGGCCTTCGTCTCCATCCCCAAATGTTTGATTTTTGGCCGAAAATGCCGGTCTTGTGTTCGTCAGTAAAACTTGTTGAAGGCGTGGAGAGACTGGTCAGGAAAATCTTGTGCTCACGAAGAAGGTTGGAGTTCCTCGCTGGCTCCCCAAATCCCCGTCTGCAAGACATTCGACGACGTCTGTAAAGGCCTTTTGCGATAAGGAGTAAAAATCCCACGGTTAAGGGGAATGTCGTGCACTGGTTAGGAGCAAAGAGAAGAAACCCACAGAGTGTCCTCAGTCCCAACATAAACCTAGGAATAACACCTACAGTCCCATTCCCTCTACCAGCACTAAGGAAGACGTCCTGACATCGTATAAAGAAACAGCATCAGAGTTAAAGAAATTAAACGAACCAAGCTGGCAGAAGATACTGAACTTAAAAGTTAAAGAAAATCTTCGATGAAAAAGAGGGCTAAAATCAAATGTTGCTTGGGGTGCCGCGAAACCCATCCACTGCCCCGCCTTCCCCTTTCATAAAAAAAAATCATTTTTCGGGCCACCTCCGCCTAATTCACTGACAAGCACACCATTCAAGCAAAAAATTGTAAGTGACATTTCATTATCTCAACCATCCACTTTTAAAATCACTTCTAGCCATACACCCACGTACACACCAAAACCCACACCTACACCTTCTCCTTCACAATCAGCCCCAAAAAAGACAAATAGAAGTCCGGAATCCCAAGTCTCATTCAAAAGATGAAAGAAAAAAATCCAACCGCCATATCTCCCAGGGGAAGACGTCTGGCGCGTATCCCGCGAATAAGCGGAGAGGATTTTCGGGCAGACGAGAAACCTGAAAACATTAAAAGTATTTTAGAACTTTCGCCACATAAATGGGAAAGACGTTGAAGTGCGGGAGAATTTTAAATCAGCGATTTGTGAGATCCAGCCCTGGTACGCGGGCAATTTGGGGCATGATCGAGTGTGCCAAATCGTCATTGAAATTGGTGCGTCCTGCGTCCTACATGATTGATGCACACATGACATGAAAAAAAAAAACATTGTTCAGGGAGACTTTCCGTTTTTGTTTACTCATCCCTGTATAGAGCCGTTAACATATTCTAGGGACATTGGCGGCCTGTTTTATGATGATACCGTCGTGATTGATATGGCCATTAGATCAATGGGACAGGCTGTTGGTGCCCGGCCATGTTCAATGCAGAAGAGCAACCCTAATCGAGCTGATCATTTTTCTCTGGTTAACTCGCGTGAATGTCCGAGGAGTGAAGTCGGAGTCTCGCAGGGCGAGGCTCTTTCGAGACCTTCAGCGCCTCGGGTGAATGTTTGTTACGTACAGGAGACCCCGTTTTTTTACGTATGTTTTGATGGTCGTTGGAGAAATATCTTTTGGCTAATGAGCAAGTCTTTTAAGGCTGCGTGTATTCTTGTGTTTTTAGATCCGTCAGGCAGGCTTTGCGTGCTGGATGTTACCGTAAAGGATAAGGCTCTTCGTCTCAATGGGGTCCATGCACCCAATGATCATTCTAAGCAGCCTGCTTTGTTTCGGCAGATGGAATAGTTTTTAACGACATCTCATCGGGAAGTTTTAACGGGGGATTGAAATGCTGTTTTTGACCACCCGACAGAGTTAGTATAGAGCTATCTTCGGGTACTAACAACCGGGACGTGAGACCATTTCAGGATAAGTTCGATCTTACCGGAATGAGCAGACCCGTGAGGTAGTATGGACTTGAACAAATAGAGGCGGGTCGGCTGATGGGGTGCGTTCTATCTACCTCGACCGAGTCTTGAAGAGAAGAGTTGCTGTAGGGTTCTTAGGGTGTTCAATTTCCATTATATAGTTTATTCGGATCATAGGTTCGTCCAGGTTCGTGTAAAATTAAATAAGGCTAAGGTTAGGATGGATAGCTATTGGAAATTAAACTGCTCATTATTTGGTGAGCAGGATTTCCGGGACCAGATGCTACTAATGATCAAGAGGGAATTGACAGCGGCTGTGGTTAGGAATGCCTGGTGAGACAAATTTAAATCTAAAAATAGATGATTTTCTGTTGATTTTAGACGTCGACTCAATCTAGATAGATTAGCGGCGCAAACGGGTTTTTTGCGAAAGCTCAATCGGGCAATTAAATCCTGTGATAGTGAGGAAACAACCTTAGCAAAGTTGTCCTCCTTGCTTATCAAGAAGGATCAAACTCTGGTAGTTAGGGCTAGCTTAAAAAGAATGTTCACTGAATTGCTTGCAGAGGAGTCTCGGAATGCGTCTCGGCGAAATATTGCCGGATAACCGGACCGGGACTACAAACGCGGGCATATGTGAGGCTTTTCGTGATTACTTTCAGGAACTTTTTACCAAGGAGCCCGATCTGAGCCCTGCTCAGTTCGACGTCTATTTAGCCGAATTTCCATGCCTTGATGCAGCTGAAGCCGCTTGGTTCGAGTGTCCAATCACAGAGTCGGAAATATGGAAAGTGCTGAAACAGGTCAGCCTGGACAAATCTCCGGGATTAGATGGTCTTCCCTCCGAAGTTTACTTGAGGCAGTCGCCCGTTTTTATTCTTGGATGAAGTAGGGGTCTATACATCAATGCTTCACCAGAGGTGTGATCAAGTTGGTACACAAGGACAATAGCGGTGTAGATGGATTAGGTAACTTTCACCTTTTAACCATGTTAAATACAGGGGTAAAGGTTTTGGCAAAGATCTTAGCCAACTGTTTGCATTTTGTCCTCTCCAGTCTGATTGGCTCCGAACAGACTTGTGCTGTGAAGGGCAGGACTATTCAGGACAACCTTCAAATATTCTGCTTGATCTTAGAACAAGTCGATAGTGAAGCCGCGCTGATCAATTCAGATCAATCCAAGGCCTTCGATAGGTTTAACCATCTGTTCCTGGAGGCTGTTCTTTCGGCGGCCAGCCGGCTTCGGACCGGATTTCGCACCTGGATCCGACTTCTGTATGCCACTCCCGGAGTGCTGTTAGAAGTATATGGGTTAAGATCTGAAATTTTCGTATCATCTCTTTCCGTCCGTCAAGGTTGTCCGCTTTCGCCTACGCTTTACTTTCTTCCGTCGGTCCTACGCGGAATTTCTCTACCTGGTGCTATCACTTCGGCCAGGTTTTCTGCCTATTCTGATTGGTTCTAGTAGCGAGCAGAGCCGAGGTTGAAGTAGCAAAGAAATCAATGATTATGACATGGTGTCTGGGGCCAAGATCAACCGCGATAAACCTGTTGGCTTGCAGTTGAGTGCGTGGAAGGGAGTTTCTTTTCCCGGACTTTTCCTCTGGATGGATGGGCCGGTCAAGATACTCGGCGTCTGGTTCGATACTGATATCCAGTTGGTAATGAATTGGTCGGAGGTATAAGGGAAGGCCGTGATTGCAGTTAATCTATGGTCTCGGAGGAATCTTTCCTTGAAGGGGAGGGCGGATGTTTGTATTTCACACATCTACCCGATTCTTCTTTATCGACTCTCTGTACTTCCACTTCCGTATGCCACACTAATGTCATTAGTAAGGCTCTTGTTTTATTTCTTGTGGAGAGACAAGGCTGCTAGAGTATCTCGCAAAATCAGTTGCCTTCATCCATCTGAAGGCGGTCTGTGTATGCCTAGCATTGAGATTCGTCAATATATGATTCGCATCGCGTTCCTAGACCGAATGTGTCGCGAATCGGATGAGGAGGGTGCCTTCTGGAAGGAAGAATTTTCCATCCCTGAGAAGTGTACACTCATGCGAGGATGATGAAATGATTAGGTCATTGAGAAAAGACCTTTTTGGTGCTGCCTCCTGCTAGTAGCAAAGAAAAGTAAAAAAAAAATAGTCTCTGACAAAGTTGGGCCGCGCATCAAGGCACCAGTGATTACGACAGCCAGGGAACAGCTTTCTTCCTGAAACCCCCCTCCAAAGCGTATTATCGACCTTGCGGAAGTCTTGGAAAAGGCTAAGTTTTACGCACATCTTGTAAAAAAGATGGGCTCTTAGACAACGTCCAAGAGGTAAAGATGTTTGAAAACAGTATGGTGTCAGTCTTCGTGGTTGACTGGTGCGGAAAATCCTTCGTTTGGGTACTCGCTCACATTCCCCAAAAAGCAGACTGTGACTTCAAACGAGGGCTTATGTGAGGCTTTTCCCTGCCTTGCGGGCGCTGAAGCAAGTTGACCTGGACAAATCTCAGGGATTAGATGGTCTTTCATTACGAAGTTTACTTTAGGCAGTCGCCCGTTTTTGTTCCCTTGCTGGCACTGATTTTCGGCAACTGGATGAAGCAGGGGTCTATACCCCAACGCTTCACCAGTAGCTTGATAATGTTGTTACGAAAGGACAAGAACGGGGGGATGGGTTAAGTAACTGTCGCCCTTTAATTAAAACACAGTTAAAGATTTTGTCTAAGGTCTTGGTGAACCGTTTGCAGGTAGTACTGTAATAGTCTTGTGCTGTGAAGGGTAGGACTATTTAGGACAACCTTCATATGGTACGCTTGATCATCTAGCAAGTCGACAGTGAAGCCGCGCTGGCCACTTTAGATCAGTCCAAGGCTTTACGATAGGGTTTACCATCGATTTCTGGACGCTGTCCATTGAGCGGCCGGTTTCGGGCGGAATTTCACACCTGGATCCGACTTCTGTGTTAAACCCCTCCCCAAACAGACAAATGCATTGTTCATATGGGGACTAGTTGGGATTTTTATAGAGACAATGAGGTATTATGGTGGATGTAGTAAGAAAGGTACATAAGAATGTGTTGTTTTGATGTAAGGCAAATTGTTTGTATAACTGGGTCAGTGTTGTAGCTAGTTAAGTTTAAAGTTAGGACAGAAGAAGACCGTCCTTTTCCCCAATTCCACATTTTTGACCTTATTCCACATTTTCTCTAAATAAATATCAGTTTCCAGCAGTCAGCTCTGACAGCCGGACTTAACATTCTTGCTCGTTTGTATATGATTTTATTACTATCTTTCTGTTAATATAATTGTTAATTCAATTCCTCTCTTTGTGTCTGTATTTCTGGCCCCAGCAAAGCCACAACAATTATTTTTTAATAACTAATTTCGACATTATAATTATCTTTTATTATTTTTTATTTAAACACTTAATAATGAAATACTACTAATTTCTTTCTTTGGGATCATCTCAAAAGAAAGGTGTATATACCAACAAGCGAACAACAATTCAACAGCTGTAGGATGAAATAATAAAGGCATATTGGTGAGATCGAGGAGCAAATATGCAGAGACGTCATAAAAAATTTGACCATCGAGTGGAGGTATGCTGCCGAAGCCTTGACGGATATTTGGCCGATATTATTTTCACACATAATTGACATGACTTATATAACATGATCCAATAGAAAAATAAATAATTAAAAAATAAATAAATAAAACTGATTTATTTACTGCTGACTTTGATCCGTCTTAATGAAACACCCTTTACAATTCCATTCAGTACTTCTCTACCTTGAGTGACACTTGGGCCTTGTATTGGGTGAATATTAGGAAAAAAAGGGGCAGACTCAGGTGATGAGAACTGGATAGTCAATGACACACGGATTATATGTGGAACAAGGTGGGGCCAAACATACCCAACTAGAAAGAAGAATGCTCTGAGGTTAATGCAACATCATACAATAATCTTTTCCTTGAAACTTTAATTTTATTTTTAATTCGAAGCTAATAGACAAAATTTAATGTTTCCAATAAGCAAAATACTTTGATGTCGAAACAACAAAACGAGTATTATTTATTATCTGGTTGTTGTGGGTTGTTGGAGAGACGAAAGACGGTAATAATGACTAAAATTGTGACTCTGGGGTCAAATCTAGATCAAATATGGATCAGAATCCGACAGAATGATAAGATAAAGAATAAGTAATGTATGCAAGTCTTTCTCGTATGTTTTTCATTTTATAGATGTGTATGACTGACCAGATAATTTAGTTTAAATAAATGCTAATATTTTTTTAATTAAACCACACTGTGACATAGAGAGAGAGACAAGCCTCCACACCTCATCCAGAGGTGTATTTAATAATGAACAGTGCTAAAGAATTAGGATGAAGGTGCTAATTACTTGGGTAGAAGGGATTCCGGATTAATTCCAGAAATAAGTTGTTTTTTTTTTTCTCTTGTTTTTTTCTCTTAATAATTGTTTCTGGGGTTGAGTTATTAGTTAATTAAATGTAATAATTCCAGAGTGATTAAGAGACGGATTCGTTAAAGTAAACGTTTGTGATAAATGGCGAATTGGACTTTTGGGTTGTCTGAATGGCGGAATTCAACCAGACGGGAGAAGTGGTTTTGGCAAAACTTAAGTAGACGTTGTCTGCGGAAGACCCAGCAGGAGGTCTGAATCCGATTTTAGTATCTCTTGAAAACTGGGTTCCCGAAGAGTTTTGGAGACCGGAAAAGGTTGCATGGTGGTCAAAGGCGATTTGCATATTAAAATTCGGGGGTGGTGCCTAAAGATGCTTTAGCTCCGTCTCTCTCTATATAAGCTGCCCGCATGCTTGAGTTAGTGAGATCGAAGAACCGGGGAAGAGACCGCTTGTTGGAATTTGCTGGTCCGGTTGGTTGGTTGTCACGCGCCCAAGAGGTCCGATCCGAACCCAGAAATAGAAACAGACCCTGTATGAAACCAGTTAATTTTGCCAACAAAGCTGAGAAACCAAACTGCTATAATTACACACTCCGACGAAGATCCCCGAATTACTTCCCTTAGATCAGCCGAAATTGTTTAGGCATAAATTTTCCTACTCTCTCTCTCTGTCACTTCCGACCCCAAACGAGTGAACCTAGTTAAAAAAATTTTGTACTCGTGTAAATTCTTCGGTAGTGACATAAAAAACAGTGGTCTAAAAAGGGCTCTTTGTACAGGAACAGAAAGAGTTGCTTTTTTTTTTCATGTCTTTGCGTCTACGACAAGAAACTTTTTCTGCATGAATAGTGATTTCCTTTCAGCTTAATACCCAGCCATTTCTTCCCCTTCCCGCCGGACCGTCCTGGAGAGATCGATACACTGCTGTTCGGATCAAGAATACACAACGTGGCGAATTGTGGTGGTTCCTTCAGTTCATCCGGGGGAAGATCGGGTGGATTTCTTTTTCGGTCAGAACCACCGGAGAGACAGGACATAGCTGCAACAGTCAGGGTTTATTACGTTAGAACACAACAACCTGATAAATAATATAAGATTTATTTTGTTGTTTCTCATTTTGACCCGTATTTTCGTCTATATAAATGTTAGGTGGTTTTTAATTATTTACACGAAATTATAACTTCCCGACACGAGTTTCAATATTTTGTGTTCATTTAGTGGAAACAAATTAATGTCAGAGAAAAGGAGTGCGTTACAATGTATATGGACATTTGTTGAGATAGATAGATAGATAGATAGATAGATAGTTGAAAAGTTTGAGATAGATAATGAATAGACTGAAATAGATAAGGGACGGATTGAGAAAGATAATGAACATAGATAGATAAATAATGAACAGACTGAGATAGAGATTGTGAACAGATTAAGACAGATAGACAGACAGACAGACTATCTAGCTTTCTAGGTATGTGTATTATCTATCTATGTATCTATTTCAAACACTTCATTATCTATCTATCGATCTATCTATCTATCTATCTATCTCTCTCTCTCTCTATATATATATATATATATATATATATTAGACTATTCATTATCTATCCATCTATCTATCTGTTCCCTATCCATCCATCTATCCATTAACCTCATGTACACGTAAAAAAACGATTAAAAATAATGGAAGCCGTCATAATAAAAAAAAAGGTGACACTCAATAATATTACCTACGAACTCGGTCAAAATGTGCTGACTGTCTTCGGAAAATAAAACATCCCAATAACTCTAGAAACATACACACAACCGATACACCCAATTAACTGTGTGTTTATCTAAAAATAAAAATACGCTGAAATTCACCTTCTTCCGCCGGTTAAGTGGTTCAAACTCCGACTGACGCCAATTCAACCGGGTTTCAATCCTAGCTAAAAGGCAAAAGGACGTCTACCCACAGTGAATTGTTTGCGATACAGCCAATTAAAAAGAAAAAATTTATACAGCGAAACAGTCTGTCTGTGTATAACAATATATATATATATATGATATTAGTTCTATTAATGCTTAAATGAGGAATAATATATATATATATATATATATATATATATATATATATATATATATATCAATTTAAAATACAATATAAATTATAGAATAATATATTGTAAAAAGAGGCTGTAAACATATGATATTAGTGGTATTAATTCTTAAATAAGAAATACTAATATATATATATATATATATATATATATATATATATCAATTTAACAGGCAATATAAACTATAAAATAGTACATTGTAAAAAGAGGCTGTAAACAACCGCGTTTAAGAAGGTGTAATCCAAAAAAGCGCGTCTTACAAAATCCGAAAAATTTAAGGGGAAAATGTAATTAAGAATATCGGTCGAAACCTGGGAAGACTGGTAGCTTTAATTTTGGTGTTCTTAATGATATATATATATATATATATATATATATATATATATATATATATATATATATTAAAAAGAAGAGAGATAGATAGATAGATATATAGATAGATACCCAATTACACATTTCTGTATAGCGCTGCTATTTTCATTGTTATTATACACACAAATACACACACATAAATACACACACATAAATACACGCACACACACACACGCACACACATATATATATATATATATATATATATATATATATATATTATAGTAAAGAGAAAGAACAGTAAGCAATATACTCCTGTGTACTTATTAATTTTTTTATTTTTAAAAAACAGTGCTCAATAAAGTAACTCGTTTTTGATACAATAGGTATCAGTGAATACCTACCACCCCTTGTCAAAATTCCTTAGAAAGTAATATTATATTATGTTGAAGCTTGGATAAGCATGGAATAATAATAATACAACACAAAATGTATTGAAACAAGGAAAAGGTACACAATATTTACAGTTAGTTTTGGTATATTCTTGGGAAGACTGTTCCTGTAGAATGGGTTGACTTAATCGCAGTCGGGCAGAGTCTCTGGATTGGATCTCTTGTTACTTCCCCCGTCTTCCCGGTACCAACCCATATTTATATGGTCGGTACTCCACTATGTAAATTAGGTGGATCGTACCACAACATATTATGTGTTTATAAAACTCAGTAAAATTCAAAATATTTTATTCCAAATTTCACTTGAAAATGAAACAGTACAAGGGACATTAATTCTATAGTTTTATTTAAAGTTTTTAGTTTCTGTTTTTGAAACGTGGTAATTCCTGTGTAGCGATAGAATGATATTTTTAAACTAGTTGCATACTTTCTCTTTTTTCTGTTTTTAGTTACATTTAGTAAATACTACAAAAGTAAATAAAAACAAAGACCGTGAATATATATTCACATGAAATTTCTCAATTCATTTAATTTAGTTTAAATTCCGTAAAACAGAGAGAAATAAGAATTTTATGCAAGCATTAAAAACATTTGAAAGTTTGAGTCAAAAATTAAAATATACTTCAATATGAAATGTCTTATAAACTGACGTACATATGAATAAAAAACAAGATTTTTTCATTCTAGATTTAAATATCCTGGTTTTTGAGCGATATACGATATATTATGAAACAAGAAAACATTCAAATATCCTGCAATGGCCGGGAGACTTGAAATGACATGCGACCCATCGTTACAGTCCAATGATTCCCAGGCATCTTTGCTAGGAAGAAACAAATAAATAAAAAATCGTGGAAAATAAAGAACTCTTATATATATATATATAGAGAGAGAGAGAGAGTTTAAACAAAAACGGACGGGAAATTGTGGAGAGCCATGTTCCCCAATCCTATGAAGCGACACGACGGCTCAAAGAAGAAGAAATAAACCTTCAAAATGACACTTGTAACTCGTTTTACAATGCATTAACGAAATCTGAACATAAGTGAGAGTTTTATTTAAATTTTATTTTATTTTATAACATTGATCGATTTACAAACAAGTCTCGATTCGAAGATTAGAATAAAATAAGAAATTCACATTTCTTGAATTTTATCAACAACTCGAATTTCAGTTTGTTTCAAAATCATGAAATACAGTAGACGTTTTAGATTTTTTGACGATACAATCAAAATTATGTTGACTTGTCTTTGACTTAAACATCAAAGTTCAAAAGATTTTTCATTAATATTGGTGTGTGTGGGGGGTCTTTCGTTCTAATTACATAAGTAAAATGTCGAGTTTATCTTTCGTTTTTATTACCGAATGTTAAAAAGTTACCTTGTATTTTAAACCCGAAGATAATTTCAATTTTACCTTTTCTAACCATTAATTACTTTTGAATTTTTATTAAAACTCATCTTAAATATATGTGCTAATTACATTTAAATTCGTTTCTGAATTTTTTTATTAATTAGTATTATAAAATATTTAAAAACAATAATTAAAATGTATCAAAAAGTGTTTTACATTTTATTTTACAATAAACATTTTTAGTTGAGCAAAACAAATTTTATATCGTGCACAAGAAATTAGTTAAATTAATTAATATTTTTAATTAGTTTATACCACAAACTAATAAAAACATTATTTTATACCAGTTTTTACTTTATATTGCATTAATATTTGTTTTAATTTAGACAAATTTTATATCGTGCACAAGAATTTAGTTAAATTAATTTTTAATTAGTTTATAGTGTTTACCACAAACTAATAAAAAGTATTATTTCATACTAGTTTTTACTTTAAAATGCATTAATAATTTTATTTTAGATTATTTTTTATTCTATTTTACTAATAAAAATCTTCTTTTATTTTGACTACTTTTTTTATTTTATACTAATAACTAATAAAATCTTTTTCTTTTATTCTACATTTTATTTCTAAATTAATGACTAATAAAACAAAAAAACTATAGGTTTTTGCTATTTTGTTTTTACTTTCAATCTTACATTTCCTTCGAACTGGATTCATTTTATTTTAGTTTTCTCAACAATTTCAAACGCAAATCAACAAATATTGACAAATTTACCTTCGAATATTTTTAATAATTTATTGATTTTTTTTTTTGATTTCCATTTTAAGAGAAATAAAATAAATATGAATTTGATTTCAAAAAATAAAGAATCAAATTTTATTCGACATTTTGGCTTTATTTACATTTTCCAAATGATCCCGATGAAGAGAAAGAGACATTTCGATCCTCTTTAATCTTGAAACCATTTCACCCAAAGTAAGGCTAGAAAGCCACTCCGAAGCTAGTGTATTCTCAGTATGTCATATTTTGCTCTCTAACTTCTTATTTACTGATTTCGCTGCAAATTGCGTGGCAGATTCAAAATCACAATTATTTATCATCTCTTTAATAAATAGATATTCTATCTATCTATCTATCTATCTATCTATCTATCTATCTCAGAACTATTCATATATATCTATCTCTTTATCTCACCCTCTCTCTCACTCTTGTGAAAGAAAATCTTTTTGTCCCAAAAATAAATGAATAACAAGTAATGATATTGGTTTCTTTGTCTGTCTATATCTCAGTTCTTTTCATATCTATCTATCTATCTATCTATCTATCTATCTATCTATCTATCTCGGTCCTTTTCATATCTATCTATCTATCTATATCGGTCCTTTTCATATCTATCTATCTATATCGGTCATTTTCATATCTATCTATCTATCTATATCGGTCCTTTTCATATCTATCTATCTATATCGGTCATTTTCATATCTATCTATCTATCTATCTATCTATCTATCTATCTATCTATCTATCTATCTATCTCAGTTCTTTTCATATATTGCTATCTATGTCAGTCCCTTTCATATCAATCTATCCATCTCTCAGTTCTTATCTATCTCTCTCAGTCCTTTCCATATCTATCTCAGTCCTTTTAATATCTATCTATCTATTGATGTGAATATTTTTTTCGATTGTCGCCGGCTGCGAAGACAATCACGTCTTTGTTGGCGATTTGAAAAGCAGATCCATCCTAGAATTCAGTAACTCTGGGAAAATAGTCGGCCAATATCCTTTAAAGGACGGAGGGAAGGAATTCTACCCCTGGGACCCGTGTCGCCTTTCGGAAGACATTTTGGTTGTCTGTGTCCTTAGGGACCGCGTATGGAGTCTGGAAGAATTTTCTTTTTGGCACAAAAAAAATATCCGCGATTTTTGCAAATGCAAAAATCAATTCACACAAAAAAAATAATTTTTTTTCTTTCTGTCAAATTAACAAAAAACAAAAAAATTTTTGCTTGCGAAAGAATTTTCAAAAAATTGTTTGTTTTAATGAAAATGGACAAGAAATTAAAACAATCCATCCCAGAGGGTCGTTGGGGGAGAGTATTTATCCCCCCACTCCGCCTTCGTGCCGATCCCATGACTGGGAATTTGTGGGTGTCAAGACAGACAGAGTCGGAAATCTTTGTCTGGAATCAAAAACGAGAAATTCTTCAAAAGTTTGAAATGGATGAAGAAATTTCCGATTTTTGTTCAAATAAATTTGGCCATTTTTATTTTTCGACAAAACACGAAATTTTTTCTGTTTTACCGAAAAAAGTTTTCTTCAAATTCCCGAAAGAATCTGAAAATTGGCCGACGATTTTTGTTTCCAGCCGAAATTTGTTTGTTTATTTTAAAAACGATGGAAAAGATTTATTAAAAATTTTAAAAATTAATAATTTTGAAAATTTTTAATAAATCTTTGCAAATAAAATTTATTATTTTAAATTCGTTTTTGAAATATTTTCTTCAATTCAATTTTTTTTCATTTTTTGTCTCCGACCATCAATGGTTGACAGAAAAGGTGAAAAGGAAATTGATTTAATTTCGAAGTGGCAATATCATTATTATCTCATTAATTCTATGTATCAGTCTATCTATCTTTCTATCTATCAATCAGACTATCTTGCTATTTAAAAGAAAAGGGAAGAATTTTTAAATTCTCTATCTCACACAAACTTTCTCTCTCTTAGACCCCTTCCATAATATTCCATCCATTATTATCTTATTAATTCTAACTATCAGTCTATCTGTCTTTTTATCTATCACTCACACTATCTTGCTATTTAAAAGAAAACGGGAGAATTTCTACCATCTATCTTTCATACAACCTTCCCATCTCTCTTTTAGTCCCTTTCCATAAATTCCATTCATTATTATCGCATTAATTCTATCTATCTGTCTATTTATCTTTCTATCTATGAATCACTATATCTTGCTATTTAAACGAAAAAGGGAGAATTTCTACCCTCTCTCTCTCTTTCATACAACTTTACATTCTCTCTCTCTTAGTCCCCTTCCATGAAATCCCTCCATTATTATCTCATTAATTCAGTCTATCAGTCTATCTATCTTTCTATCTATCAATCACTCTATCTTGGTATTTAAAAGGAAAGGTGAGAAATTCTACCCCCACTCTCTCTCTCCTTCATACAACATTTCTTCTCTCTGTTAGTCACCTTACATAAATTCCCTCCATTGTTAACTCATTAATTCTATCTATCAATCTATCTATCTTTCTATCTATCAATCACGCTATCATGCTATTTAAAAGAAAAACGGAGAATTCCTACCCCGTCTCTCTCTTTCGCACAACCTTTCCTTCTCTCTCTTAGTTGCCTTCCGTAAATCCCCTCCATTATTATCTCATTAATTCTATTTATTAGCCTGTCTATCTATCAATCCCTCTATCTTGCTATTTAAAAGAAAATGGGTGAATTTCTAACCTCTCTCTCTCTCTCTTTCATACAACCTTTCCTTCTATCTATTAGTCCCCTTCCATAAATTCCCTCCATTATTATCTCATTCATTATATCAGTCTATCTATCTTTCTATCTATCAATCCTTCTATCTTGCTATTTAAAAGAAATGTTGTGAATTTCTACCGTCTGTCTCTCTCTCTCTTTTTCATACAACCTTTCCTTTTATCCCAGTCCCATTCTGTAAGTTCCCTCCATTATTAACCCTTTAATACTATCTATCTATCTATCTATCTATCTATCTATCTATCTATCTATCTATCTATCTATGTGTCTGCCTGTAATCCTTCATATTTATAGTAACATTATTACTCGCTTGAAAACTTCTCAGATAAGTCAACTTTTAAGCACCAAATTTGTACCCAAGAAGAAAATTGGAAACAAAAAAAAAGAACTAAAAACATCTATCTATCTATCTATCTATTTAATTAAAACTGGTATCTATCTATCTGTTTGTCTGTCTGTCTATCTATCTAGCTATGTATGTCTCGATCGATCTATGTAATTCAAATTGATTTCTCTCTCTGTCTACGTATATATCGAATTGAATCGCATATCTATCTCTGTCTCTCTCACTCTCTCTCAAATTTTAATAATGAAACTCTTTTGTGGTTATGGGTCGGATGCGTGTGTAAGTCTGGTTCTCTGTGTGTGTCTGTGTGTGGGCTTGGATGTGTGTCTGTGACTTACAAAATAACAACTTTTCTTTTCCAGCCGAATTTTAAATTCACAAAAATTGTCTAATTATCGAATTTTTGTAATTTTTTCCATACTCATGTCATTAAAGATGAGGATTCTTTTCACATAAATTTTCACTGACAATTTTCAAGGTAAGTTATTTTGACCCCCACCATTATTATATTTTTTTTTAAGTTTTAATAGGTAATTTTTAATTATTTTTCCAAATGTATATATAAAATCATTCTTTATTTGATAATAAAATTTAAAAAATTAAAAAAAAAAAACATGTCTTTTTGAAATTGGAAATAAAAAAGAAAGAACTAAAAACATCAGAATAAGGCGAAACAAATCGTCAAGTGTCTTAAATCGTTAATCAAAAAAAAAAAAAAACCTAAGCGAGTAGAAAGACTAAAATGTAGAGTGCTCAATACGGTAAGTAGATCGGTAAATTAGAATAAATCCCAATGAGTCAGGCAAACCTACGTAAGTTTCACATAAACGGATCTTCAGGGTAAACTGACTAAAAAAAGTATAAAAGGAAAAGGAATTCAAACTACTTAGAGGATTATAAATATTTTACGCCATGTTCTTCGAGAATACATACACACACACACACACACACACACACACACACACATATATATATATATATATATAGTCGTGCAATGATTGGACAAGTGGATCTAAAAGTGTGAATATTTAAGATTGTGCTGCAAATAAAATATGCAATATCCACAAACATGAATTAAAAGAAATGGCCAAATGCTAACGATATTCAATCATGACAAAAATTTTCTGAGATAAGGTATTATATACATTATTTACATCATTCGAACTATTGTCCTCATCTTTGTCGCCATATTTATTGCGACGTTTCGGCTCCGGCCTTATTCAGGTGGTTGGAATGCCGAACTGAACCCTTTATTTCGCTCACTGGTGTAGACTGTTCTAGTTGCACATGCCATGTTTAATGGATGTCAGTTATCAGTTATCTACAGTTAATTTCCCTCAGAAAGTTCTCCACTGCCTTAACTGGGTATTGAACTTACACTCTTTTTGGGGTCCTGTCACTGGATCTACCTAACCCTTTATCTACTGTGCCATATGTCCTTTACAATTTCTTTGTTTGTAATGATGTGTACAAAAGTATATTTAAAAGAAAAAGGTTTTTGCTATTTCGTAAATGTTCAATGACTTAAAAGCTGTCTGCTTTTGATTAAAAAGGTTGAATTTAACTTAGACAAAAGTTTTTCTATGAAAGATATTGAGTTTAAAAGTTTGTTGTGTAAATTTTTCTAATCACTCATAATGGAAGTTTGTTTCTTTGGTGGCACATAATTCCCGTGTGTATCTTTCGCGTGTGTGAACCTCAGATATACTTATTTTATAAAATACAGAATTATGACACAAGGCCGAAAAGGGGGAAAGGCTGGTCCACACTGATCATCCTATACCTAGCTAATCCAATTCACGACCCATTCACACGTTACAATTTTTACATTTACCGCAAAAACTCGTCCGTCACCATAAACGCGTCCCATGACTTGAAAATTGAACGATAATTAAATATGTATACATAAAAAATTTCGGATAAAAAAATGAGAGGCGGAGGGGTATGAACATATAGACAAACAAAATATAAAACTGATGCTAGTAGGGCCCGTTCCGCCCTCAAAAAGAGAGACGCCGCTGTATTCTGCCCATTGGACAAAATTAAGAGGCACTAACGCTAAGGGAGATGGAAAGGAGAAAATATATACGGACATGGGAAATATGAAAGCAGACCAAGTCCAGATGAAAAGGGAGGCAAAACAAACAGGGGAGGTTGTGAATCTCAACTTGGATCATTACTAAAGATGCAGCCGAGAGCAGGCCAAGAACAACACTTACTCACATTGACTAGGTACACAAAGCTTGTCTAGACTAACCAAGGGGAGGGCTTCACAGGGAACCACCACGGTGTAACGTAGTTGACCTAAAAGAGAAAATCAATGCCGAGCCCCATTCACACGAAACAAGCTCGCCTCAGTCACCAATCATTCGCAGAAGACTGTCGAATGCAAGCGTATTTTTTTAAATTATTATATTCAAGAACAAACAGAAAAAAAAACAAAAACGTGGAAAACTAAAAGGCAATAAGCAATTCAAGCAAATACGAATAAAGAAGAAACTAAATCTAGGGGAGGGGAAAATACAGACAAGAAAAATAGACACAAAAGAAAACAAAAAATGCACAAAAATAAAACTGGAAAAAATTCAAAAAGTTTCAATCGAAACAAAGAAAAAAGGAAAACAAAGAACAAAATAAAGTCAAAAACGTAAACAAATAAATAAAAATAAACCAGAAAAACTAAAACATTCAAGAGGGCTTCACAAATTTAAGAAACACTTAACAGTTCAGGCGCAACGAACACTGAAGCTGGACCAAGGGTGAATAATGGTCGGTCAGCGTTGCGAGGACGGTAATTTACGCCTTATGTTTCCCTAGGGCACAGGGCTATCACTGGCCGGAAGCCCGTCTTCGCCATCGACGGACAAATAAATAAAAATAACCCAGAAATACTAAATCATTCAAGAGGCTTCAAAAATTTAAGAGACACTAAACTGTTCAGGCACAACTAACACTCAAGCTGGACCAAATGACAACAAACGTACTCCACGTGTGTGAATCTCAAATGTGACGAAAATTCATTTGCCATTTATATTTTTGTATTTTCCTATGACTAATCGACTCAACGTTGCTTCGTAGCTGTTGCAAAGTCTTTCTGAGGAATGCGTGGGCGTATGTTGTACTTTGTATTATTTTTTAGCCAATAAGATTTGTTGAAACAATTAAATTAGGGATGAATTTGAAAAAGATTTTTTAGTCGGCTGAGCCTACATTTGCACAAATTTTGATTTTGTTATAGGAACTTCTCGAAGCTTAATATATATTTAACAAGCCATGAAATTCAAGAAATTGTTTGAAATTTAAATGAAGGTCACTCACTAAAACTTCTTTTTGTGGATGGGTTATTTGTATTCAATGGGTTATTTGTATTCAATGGGTTTAGCTAGGCATAGGTAAGGATGACCAACCTCAACCCAATCCCCACTTTTTAGTACATGTGCCGCAATTATTGTATTTTATAATAATAAATAGAATTCGTCTCTATATATATATATATATATATATATAGGTAACTATACTCGCCTCGAAAAACCTTCACAAGGGCACTACCGTCCTGCAATGAAAGAAGGCGTCACCAGTGGTCTCGACTTCTCCCGTACAGCGACGACAGTTTGGATATTTCTCCAAGCCTGCTGAACAAAATCACTTGGCGACCCAGAGGGCCCCACGAATCACCAGCCAAGTGAGTGATGCCTCATCATTATTGAGGCATTTCAACCCAGGCGCCCAAGACCATATCGAGCGAGCCTCCTGCTTCGTAAGACCGAGCTGTCCAATCAGATCATCTTTAACGGACCCCCTAACCAACAGTTGATACAATGCCTTACGAGACAACTCCTGGGCGTCGGAGAGGCCGTCCGAAGCCCGTAAGAGGAGCTTCAGAGCACGACAACATTCGCTGTAGAAGGAGCACTCGGCTCGGGGTCTACGGCCGGCCTCCTCCTCGCACGAGTACACACTTCTCAGGTATGGGAAATGTTTACGGACGTCTTCTTTCCAGAAGGCGCCCTCCTCATCTAATCCGCGACACATTCGGTGTATAAAGGTGATGCGAAGCATATGTTGACGAATCTCAATGCTAGGCTCAAACCGCCTTCAGAGGGATGAAGGAAACAGTCCTCGCGAGATACCATTGCGGCCTTGTCTCTCCACAAGAAGGAGAACTAGATCCGTACTAATAATATTAGTCTGGTATACGGGAGTGGAAGTACAGAGAGTCGGTAAAGGAGAATCGGGTAGATGTGTGAAACACATACTTCCGCCCTTCCCTTCAGGGAAAGTCTCCTCCGAGACCACAGATTAACCGCGATCTCGGCCTTCCCTTGTACCTCCGACCAATTCATTTCCAACTGGATATCAGGACCGAACCAGACGCCGAGTATCTTGATCGGCCCATCCGTCCAGAGGAAAGGTCCGGGAAGAGAAATTCACTTCCACACACCCAACCGCAAGCCAACAGACTTATCGCGGTTGATCTTCGCCCCTGTCACCATCTCATACCCACTTATCTCTATGCTGACTTCGTCAATCTCGGCTCTGCTCGACACAAGAACCGAAACGTCATCAGCATAGGCAAAATACCTGGCTGAGGTAGTAGCCCCAGGCAGGGAAATTCCGCGCAGGACCGGATTCGTCTTTAACTTGCGAAGGAAAGGTTCCAACGCAAGAACGTAAAGTAAAGGTGAAAGCGGACAACCTTGACGAATGGAGCGAGACAATACGAAAGGCTTCGATCTTACCCCATTTACCTCCACCAGCGCATACAAAAGTTGGATCCAGGAGCGAAAGTCGGCTCCGAAACCGGCCGCCGAAAGGACAGCCTCCAGAAAACGATGGTCAACTCTATCGAAGACCTTGGACTGATCTAAATTAATCAGCGCGGCTTCACTGTCAACTTGTCCTAAGATCAAGCGTACCATATGAAGGTTATCCTGAATAGTCCTGCCCTTCACAGCACAAGTCTGTTCAGGGCCATTTAGACCAGACAGGACAAGTCAAGACAGTTGGGCATAGAGATCTTCGCCAAAATCTTTATGATATCGTATTTCATCTGCCAGTCAAAGGGCGAAAGCACCCAGAATCTCGCCGTATTTGCCAAATAAAGTTGCCAGATGCCCTCCGATAATCCTAGGAGGGACCTCATGTACTGCTAG